GAGTGTCACACCACAGACTGTTTAATATCTGCATGTCTATATATATATATGCTATATAATTGCCAAACCCTACCTAATTTGCATAATCAAAACCCCTATGCCTTATTCATTCACATACCAAAAATGAGCAAAATCCCTTGAACCTGAACTGACTAATGGCAATTCCCATTTTTTGCAAAAAATTGCCGTGGCGCGAAAGTACGTTGACTGGCGTGCTCAAAAATAAGACGTTCAATATGGGAGCATAGCAGTAACAACTATACCCGATTTCAAACATGTGGGTCAAATGGTTCCTGAGTTATCGTTGACCGAAACCAAATGTTGCCGGACAAACGGACGGACGTACGACGAACGACAACCCATGGCAATAGCTCAGCTTGACGATGTCAAGGTGAGCTAAAAATTAAAACTATTTTACATTGAAACTATAGTTAGAATGCCTTGTTTTTATGGTCGAATCCTTCAGTTTTTTTTTAAATAAACGCTGCGCTGGCAAAACATCTGAACTACTTCACCCGCGGAGGAATGATGTGTATGAATCTAGAGCGAGTAAATTGACGCTCCAGCTGATTGTAGCTTTTCGCACGTGTTTTGCATAGCAACCGTTACTATGCAATTGCAGGCAAACGTATGTGTTTACACCTATACCTTACTTGTCATGACCATCTGTATGTGATAAAGGCGAGAGATAACGTCGTCATCACTCGGCTTTGTTAGCCGAACAAAAACTTCTTCGGGAGATAACGTACAGGAGATGCGATACCTGTCGCGCCTCCTTCAGGTTGCTGTGTGTGCGAATTTACCGCTTGGCCTCGCCACACGACAGTAAATAACGTGAAAAGCATGTCGTGCAAAAGTACGATTTATGTCAAAACGAAGGAAGCTACGCGGTTTGTAATACTACCGGAAGATAGAATAAGGACCAATGGCAGTGAACAAAAGAAGCTCATGTTTGTATACATTTGTATTTTTATTCACATCGAACTCGTACGACAGAATGTAGTGAAATCAGTACCAAATACGTGTCAAACTACTTTGTCTTTATTAACTCCTGATGTATATATTCATAATTTTAATATTGTTCTCACAATATCAGGACATGCCATATCATCCGCCCTGGTCCATGACGACCTGCCACGTCATTACGCTACGGAAGGTGGCACAATCCTGTTACAATGTTTGGGATACAAAACAGGAAGGTAGCAAAAAGGTCGTAGTCTTGGTGAGTTATGGAGCAATGATTAATTCTATCATACAGGTACTGTCTGCTAATGTATGCCATTACGTTCGTAGCCTGTGCTTGTGTTTAGCTCCTTGGTGTTTACTAACCTCAAAAACGCAGACAACGCATGCATGGCAAATCGTAAACATCAGACCGGTTACCGCCTTACCGGTGCACGTCGCGCCATCTCTTAGCGTTTTTCTACACTAACCAGCATTGATGTACATAAAGACAAATTTTATTTTTCTTGTTTGTCTTTATTAACTCTTGGTACTAGTGTACTGAGCAATGAAACAAACACGCAATCAAAGGGAAAAACATATATTTTTTTTAAC